CTAGGGGTTTCAGCAATGAGGTAAAAGATTGCAGATAATCTCCAGTAACTCAGGCACTACGATATTTTATTTACTAAAAACTCCAATAAAGATTTCAGTAAAAAGTGTGAAGGAGCCTTTTCTTTTTGGTGAAACATCAATTCCACAACGATCGTTTCAACCTTATCTTGAATTATAAAGCTGAGTTTTCCATTTCAAAGTAAAGAGGAAAAAAGAAAAAAATTATGGAAACATTTTCATAGTAAAATATTGTGGGAAGAAAGTAAAGAGAAATTGTCCAGAATTATATTAGCAATTCCTACTTTTAGATATCAGAACCTGTGTACATGAGTTTTTTCTTGCTTTGATGCTTGAGAGTTGAGTGGCGAATTCATTCATTCATTTACTCAACGGGAACTGCTCACCTGCTGTGTGCAGTGCAGTCAATTTTTTTAAATTAGTTACTTTTTTTTTTTTTGAGATGGAGTCTTGCTCTGTTGCCCAGGCTGGAGTGCAGTGGCCCGATTTCAGCTCACTGCAACCTCCGCCTCCCAGGTTCAAGCAATTCTCCTGTCTCAGCTTCCCGAGTAGCTGGGATTACAGGCACGTGTCACTTGTAATCTATTTTTATATTTTTAGTAGAGATGGGGTTTCGCCATGTTGGCCAGGCTGGTCTCAAACTCCTGATCTCAAGTGATCCGCCTGCCTCGGCCTCCCAAAGTGCTGGGATTACAGGCGTAAGCCACCATGCACAGCCTCAGTGCAGTCAATTAAGCACTAGGAATAAAAAAAAAAAAAAAAAGATGTGTGGCCTGTCCTCACAGAGCTTATGATTCAGTAGGGAAGATAGACATGGCAGACCCGTGTTATAGTCTCAGGTGCTATGACAGAGACGCACGCGGAAAACTGGAGTAGAGCCCTCCCTAAACTTAAGAGGGTGAGACTGGGCAAAGTGGTCCATGTCTATAATCCTAGCGCTTTGGAAGGCTGAGATAGGAGGATCACTTGAGCCCAAGAGACTGAGACCAGCTTGGGCAACACAGTGAGACCTCATCTCTCCAAAAAGTTTTAAAAATATATTAGCCAGGTGTGGTGGTGCATGCCTTTCGTTCCAACTACTCAAGAGGCTGAGGCATGAGGCAGGAGGATCTCTTGAGCCCAGGAGTTTGAGACCAGCCCGGGCAACAGAGTGAGACTCCGTCTCTACAAAAAGTTTTAAAAGTATATTAGCCAGTGTGGTGGCATATGGCTCTAGTCCCAACTACTCAAGAGGCTGAGGCAGAAGGATTGCTTGAGCCCAGGAGTCTGAGGCTGGAGAGAGATCATGCCACTATATTCCAGCCTGGGTGACAGAGAGAGACTCCGTCTCTGTCTCTAAAATTTAAAAAAAATATATAATTTTTTAAAAAGATAGTGAGAATGCTCAGAAAGGCTTCCTGGAGGCATCATGAAGGATAAATGGTGGTTAACTGACTGGAGAAGACAGTAATAGTGCTTAAAAGTCTCTGTGTTTCAAATAATAAACAACTTAATGCAAACTGGCTTAAGTGCAAAAGAGAATATTGGTTCTTGTACCTGAAAGGTCCAGGGAATTTTGGCTTCAGTCATAGCTAGACCCAGGATCTAGTAGAGTATCATCAGGGATCTGCCACTATTTGTCTACCCAACAGCATCTCCCTTCTTCCTTGTTAATAGAGCCCCAAATGTGTTCATTCTCAGTGGAACTGCTTTGTCTTTCAGGAGTGGCTGGGTTTAACTCATTACATCTGCGACAATCGTGTTTCCAATACAGTCGTGTTCTGAGGTCTTGGGAGTTATACTTCAATATACTAATTTTGGGGTGATACAATTCAACCCTAAACACTCAGCCTTTCCCTTCTCCATTTCTCTCATCTCCTGCTGGTATCTCCCATTGACTGGACCAATCTGGAGGGTATGTTATAGGAAAGGGGTCCTGATCCAGACCCCAAGGGAGTTCTTGGATCTTGTGCAAGAAAAAATTCAGGGCGAGTCCATAAAGTGAAAGCAAGTTTATTAGGAAAGTATAGGAATAAAAGAATGGCTACTCCATAGATAGAGCAGCTCCTAGGGCTGCTGGTTGCCCATTTTTATGGTTATTTCTTGAGTGTGTGCTAAGCAAGGGGTGGATTATTCATGCCTCCCCTGTTTAGATGATATAGGGTAACTTCCTGACATTGCCATGGCATTTGTAAACTGTCATGGCCCTAGTGGGAGTGTAGCAGTGAGGATGCCCAGAGGTCACTCTTGTCGCCATGTTGGTTTTGGTGGGTTTTGGCCAGCTTCTTTACTGCAACTGTTTCATCAGCAGGGTCTTTATGACCCGTATCTTGTGCCAACCTCCGATCTCATCCTGTGACTTGGAATGCCTTAACCATCTGGGAATGCAGCCCAGTAGGTCTCAGCCTCATTTTACCCAGCTCCTATTCAAGATGGAGTTGCTCTGGTTCACGTGCCTCTGACATTTCCAATAAGGTCACATTCCGAAGGAGTTATACTTCACCATATGAATTTTGGGGTGATACAATTCAACCCCTAATACTCTGTCTTTACCTCCTCCATCTCTCTGATCTCCTGCTGGTACCTCCCATAGGATGGACCCATCTGGAGGGTATGGGAGCCTGGTTGATGTGAACCATGAAAAGCAGCTTCCTGAGGCACAGAGCAGGGTAGGGAGGGTGGATCTGGAGATGCAAAAAGGATATCCGGGACACTTTGTAGCATCTTTCTTCTTGGGAAGGATCTCTCCACATGGCAGCCAACACCTCTAGACGGACTTGGTTCTTAGCTCCTGCTATTTTTAAAAGAAGACACAGAGATTTTGTCACCCAATTTCCATAACAATTCTCTAAAAGAAGTTGACTGATACTCTTTGGGTTCCAAGAAGAAATTTGAAATGGAAATAGAAGACAGGATATCTGGTGCTCCACCCCATTGCAGGCTCAGCTTATCTTCTCCCCTTTACTCTGGGATGTCTTTTCCCTTGTGGCTTACTTGGTATCTATTCCTTAGGGGCTGCATTCAGCTGCCTGTATTGAACATTCAAGAACAGTGGCAATAAAACGAATGAAGTTTATTTCTCCTTACACATTTAGATGTCCAGAGTAGGGCAGGCCCAAGCTGGTGCTGTGGCTTAAGGAAGACACAGGCTCTTTCTATCCCCTGCTTCACCATCCTTGGCACGTGGCTTTGGGCCTCATGGCTAAAAGGAGCTGCTCCACTTGCAGCCCCACATCTGTGTTCCAGCCTGAAGAAGTGATATGAAACTTCAAGGAGGAAGGGGCAGCAGAAATCAGGAAAGCAGAATTTTCTCAGAGGTCCCTAGAATATGTCTGTTTCTATCTCATCGGGCAGAACTGTATGACATAGCTGTCCCTTGCTACATGGGAGCCTGGGAAATGTAGATCTTTGGCTGAGCTGACTGCCATTTGGAAGCAATCATGTTCCTGTTAATAAGGCTGAAGTGGAGAGTGGACCTTGGGTGGAGAGCTAGCAGGGTCAGCCACACTGCTGGTGGCACCTGTGTGCGGGGTGTCTCATGAAGGTGGCACTCAGACCCAAAGGACTGCTGTTCAGAGGACTTGAGTGAATCTGGGGTAAAGCAATATATACAATTACTCATAAAAGAGAAGCATAGTCTAAATTTAAATAACAAAATCCTCCAATTCCAAAAGTATGTAATAAACCCCAATATGAGCACTGTCTTTTATTAGTACCTAATGTCAGAAAATGTGCATATTGAAAGAGGACTAAAGAAATGTCTTTAGAATTCTTTGCCCAAGTTACTGTTTCTTGATGTTCTTATAAATCTCATAAAGGATTCATGCATATTTCATCTAACACAAGCAATCAATTAACCTCCTTTCCGTTTTCCTACCCAGACATGTGGGCAAAGTAAGAATATACAGTTGATTCCTAAACAATACAGATGCCAAACCCCCGTGCAGTAAAAAATCCACTTACAACTTTGGCCGGGCACAGTGGCTTACACCTGTAATCCCAGCACTTTGGGAGGCCAAGGCAGGGCAGACTGCTTGAGCTCAGGAGTTCGAGACCAGCCTGGGCAACATGATGAAACCCCATCTCTACAAAAAATACAAAAATTAGCCAGGTGTGGTGGTGTGTGCCTGTAGTCCCAGGTACTGAGGAGGCTGAGGTGGGAGGGTCACTTGAGCTCGGGAGGCAGAAGTTGCAGTGAACTGAGATCACGCCACTGCACTCCAGCCTGGGTGACAGAATGAGGCCCTGTCACAAAAAGAAAGAAAGAAAATCCACATAAAACTTTTGACTCCCTCAAAACTTAACTACTAATAGCCTACTGTTGACTGGAAGCCTTACCAGTAGCACAAATTTTGTATGTTATATGTATTATATACTATATTCTTATAAGTAAGGTAGCAAAAGAAAATTTATTAAGAAAATTATAAAAAAGAGAAAATATACTTACCAGTCATTAAGTGGAAGTGGATCGTCACAAAGGTCTTCTTCCTCATCTTCAGGTTTAGTAGGCTGAGAAGGAGGAAGAGGACGGATTGGTCCTGCTGTCTCAGGGGTGGCAGAGGTGGAAGGGGAGGCAGGAGAGGCAGGCACACTTGGTGTTAAGTTTTTTGTTATTTTGACACATAGTCTCACCCTGTTGCCCAGGCTGGAGTGCAGTGGCGAAGTCTCGGTTCATTGCAACCTCCACCTCCCAGGTTCAAGCAATTCTCCTGCCTCAGCCTCCTGAGTAGCTAAGACTACAGGCGCCCGCCACCATGCCTGGCTAATTTTTGTATTTTTAGTAGACACAGGGTTTCACTGTGTTGGCCAGGCTGGTCTCGAACTCCTGACCTCAAGTGATCCACCCACCTCGGCCTCCCAAAGTCCTGGGATTACAGGCATGAGCCACCACACCGGCCGGTGTTAAGGTTTATTGAAAAGTGTCATGTATAAGTAGACCTGTGCAGTTCAAATCCATGTTATTTAAGGGTGAGCTGCAATTTAATTATCTCTTCTCTCTTTAGAGGAAAAGAACCAAATTCATTGCCTGTGATTTTCTGACCGAGTGGTTATACAAGTAAGTTGTTCATGTCTGACGATTCAGTGATCCTAAGAATTCAGTCGTGTTAATTTGCAAGCAGAATAGCAACAACTGACTTGAATTCTTGCTTATTGTTTTCTTGTCAATCAAACATATGGCATCGTGACCAGCCAAAATCCAAAGAGGGCAGGGGAGCCATTCACAGAATTTTTCTCCATTCCATTTGTGGAGGAGTGGCTAAAGCAACAGTAAGTATGACACAAGGCTTTGAATAATTTATTCCTAATTTAATATTGCATTAATAATAGTTTTCTTCAATCTAAGAGAACAAACTGATGTGATCCATCCAGGACTTTGGGCCAGTCATATTTCTGACAATCTTGTCTCTAGTTATTCTTAGCCTAGGCTAACCTTATCCTAATCATGCCAGTAATTTCATTCAAGAAGCACTCCAGAAAACCAAAAAAAAAAAAAAAAAAATCTTATCCTAAGTAATTTATCCCTTCATTCCCTTCATTTTTTTCTCTCTCTCTCTCTGACGGTCATTATGTCTCAGGAAATATGACTAAGCTTTTCTAAATACTTAGAAAATACTAAAAGAGCTTAAATAGTAAGTTACCTGCATCGATTCTCCATTTACAATATAATAAAGAACATGACAGATAAAATTAAAACTCTTTGACCATTCTAATATGGGTTTCCTCCCCACATTGAAGTAATCAGTTCAGTCTACAGTGCAACCTTCCAGACCTCTTATTTAGCTATATAAAATCAGTTTATGCTGCTCTATCTATGGAGTAGCCATTCTTTTATTCCTTTAATTTTTTAATAAACTTCCTTTCACCAGGCACTGTAGCTCACGCCGGTAATTCCAGCACTCTGGGAGGCCAAGGCAGGTGGATCATGAGGTCAGGAGATTGAGATCATCTTGGCTCACACGGTGAAACCCTGTCTCTACTAAAAATACAAAAAAATTAGCCAGGAGTGGTGGCGGGCACCTGTAGTTCCAGCTAGTTGGGAGGCTGAGGCAGGAGAATGGTGTGAACCTGGGAGGCAGAACTGGCAGTGAGCCGAGACGGTGCCATTGCACTCCAGCCTGGGTGACAGAGTGAGATTCCATCCAAAAAAAAAAAAAAAAAAAAAAAAAATTGGTTTATATCTGATCAGGCATGGTGACTTATGCCTGTAATCCCAACACTTTGGGAGGCCGAGTCAGGTGGATCACTGTAGATCAGGAGTTCAAGACCAGCCTGGCCCACAGGGCAAAACCCCATCTCTACTAAAAATACAAAAATTAGCTGGGCATGGTGGCACGTGCCTGTAATCCCAGCTACTTGGGAGGCTGAGGCAGGAGAATCGCTTGAACCTGGGTGATAGAGGTTGCAGTGAGCCAAGATCACACCACTGCACTCCAGCCTAGGGGACAGAGTGAGATTCTGTCTCAAAGAAGAGTTTAGATTCTCAGTTCTCAGTTGTCACATATTTTACTTAAATCTGCCCTCTTTGAGAATGCCAAGATGAACAGACCTTTGGCTGACTTTTGCAATTTTGAGAATTTAAAAAACCCCAGATATTAACCAGTTTTTTTTTTTTAATCTAAGATTACACATTGAAAGGAGAGAAACATCGGAAAACCTTGTTTCTTATTTAGCTTTTAAACCTGAGCCTGATTTTATCCGCTATGAAATGTATAGCCCAAAATTTATTGATTTACATATATTTTTCTAAGACAAGTTTGTTTGAGTATCATTCTCTGAGTTGCTGCTTTGCCTTGAAGACAAAACATTTTTCCATTTGTAATAACCAATGAAAAATAATCTTAAAAATAAGAGAACTTCTCTAATAAGAATCCTCTTAGATTATTGATCCAAATATCTTAATTTTAAATGGCACTGATGTCCACAGGATGCTCATGTAAATACACCGTAAAGAAGCAGTAGCAGCCATTTCAGCTGCACTCCACAGGAACAGAAACACAAGAGCTCTTGCTTTAACTGGCATTTGTATTCTCTACATCCATTACCTTTCAAAGAGATGCCCAGATGCATGATAAAAATTAAAGTGATATTAATCTATTTGATGCAATGAATATCTATTGAACACCTACCCAGTTCAACTGAACAGAGCTTGGTGCTGTGGAAAAAACAGAGATGAATAAAGTATGGCCCTGGCCCTTGGGGTGAGGGAGACGTGTTTACGACTTGCTGTACTTTCTGTAGTGAGTGTTGTAATACAAATGTTAACAAAGCATTAAAGGGAAGTGGGGAAGCATGAGACCATCCACGTGCCCTTCCTGGTGGGCCTGGAGCCAGCCCAGCTGGGGCAGCGGCCAAGCTGGTTGGTGCCCAGATTTGGTCCAAGGCAGGAACTCAAATGCTGCATTCTTCTTGTCTCAAGTAGGAATAGTCAGAGAAGCAAGTAAAAACCAAAATTCTTAAGGAGAACAAGGTAGGAGCCAGGAAATATCCAATCCAGGTTGGCTCAACCTTGGCACTATTGTCATTTAGGACTGGATAATTCTTTGCTGTAAGGAGCTATGACCTGTGCATTGTAGGATGTTTTGCAGCATCTCTGGCCTCCACCCACTAGATGCCAGTAGCACCCTCCTACCAGTTGTGACAATCAAGACTATCTCCAGACACTACTGCATGTCCCCAACGGGAATGAGGGAAAATTGCCTCTGGTTGAGAACCTCTGATTTAGTCCAGTAGTTTCAGAACTTTAAACCAGCACTTTGGGAGGCCGAGGTGGGCAGATTACTTGGGGTCACGAGTTCGAGACCAGCCTGGCCAATGCAGTAAAACCCCATCTCCACTAAAAATACAAAAATTAGCCAAGTATCATGGTGCGTGCCTGTAATCTCAGCTACTTGGGAGGCTGAGGCAGGAAAATTGCTTGAATCCAGGAGGCAGAGGTTGCAGTGAGCCAAGATGGTGAAACAGGAAAAGTTACCTTGTCCCTCTCGCAGGGCATGCAACGGGGATGTGGCTTGCTTCTTCAGTGCCCTGCTGCTCAAACCTCTAGGGGAGCATACAGATAGGCAGGTTGTGGGGCTCCCACCCAATGGCGGTGTCTATAGCTGAATTTATAGCTGAAGCCCCAGTGGGCATATGTTACCGGGTGCTCTCTTAGTTTGCCATCTGTAGGCGGTTTGTGTTAACCAGCTCAATTCATCCTCTACCTTGTTGCAAGGACAGAGGAATTTCTGTATCCCAGGTTCTTGCCTTTGTGTACCAGAGGAATTGGATCACACGTGGGCTTGGAGAATGAGTGCAAAGTTTTATTGAGTGGAAGTAGCTCTCAGCCAATGGAGGAGCCAGAAGGGCTCCATGGTTTTTCCCATGGAGTTGGGCTGCTGGGTGGCTACAGCTCTCCTCCGACTAACTGCCCTGGCCAAACTCAGTCTCATCCTGCCAGGTGCCTGTGCCCGTCCCTGTGCTCTTCTGCCAGCGTGCTCCTCTCAACATCCCCTCGATGAGCAGCTGCTTGTGTCTTTTTACACTGATGTGTTTCTGTCCATGTTTGGCTGCCTGTGTGTCTGCCCGCTAGGGTCTCGGGCTTTTATATGCCCAGGATGGGGGTGCGTGGCAAGCCAGGGTGGTCTTGGGAAATGCAACATTTGGGCAGGAAATGCCCATTCTCATCTAGGTCCCTGGGGGTGGAGCCCTAGCCAAGGACTACGCCCTCCTCGATGCAGCACTTCCCCTACCACCTTCTGTATTATTTAAAGGGACCACGATCTTCCCTTCCCAGCACTCCTGTATCAATGGTACCACTGCACTCCAGCCTGGGTGACAGAGCAAGATTCCGTCTCAATAAACAAATAAATAAAATAAAATCACCCAGGGAACTTTGGAAAAATATTGGTACCTAACTTCACCCAGATTGATCAAATCATAATCTTCAGGTATAGCCTGGGCGTTGTTTTTTTGCTTTTTTTTTTTTTTTTTTTAAGCTTCCTAGGTAATTCTAATATATAGCCAGGATTAAGAGCTTATCCATCCATAGGATAGAAAAAGCGCTGCATCCAGGAACTAATGAATAGTATAATTGAGTCATTTCTTCACTAAGTGCTTTGATACATGCCATCTCATTTAATCTTCACAACAACACTAGGATGTAGGTACTAAAGCTGAGAGCCCACAGCTGGGAAGTCAACCATGAAGTGAGACGGGACTTGGGCAAATAAGGTGATTATACGAGTATTATGGATGGACATTTTGAGTACGGCTTAATGATACAGATTGGATGAAGATTACTTTTGAGGGGGAGACTCTGTCAAGGCTTTTTAAAGGAAGTGAAATATAAACTACAGTATACTTCAGGCACAATTAGGAGCCTGAGCTTTTGGGATAGATAAACCAGTATTCAAATCTCCACCACTGGCTGGGTGCAGTGCCTGATGCCTGTAATCTCAGCACTTTGGGAGGCTGAGGCAGGCAGATCACCTGAAGTCAAGAGTTTGAGGCTAGCCTGGCCAACATGGCAAAACCCTGTCTCTACTGAAAATACAAAAATTAGCTGGGCATGGTGGTATGCGTCTGTAATCCTAGCTACTCAGAAACTGAGGCAGGAGAATCGCTTGAACCGGGAGGTGGAGGTTGCAGTGAGCTGAGATTGCACCACTGCATTCCAGCCTGGGTGACAGAGTGAGACTCTTTCTTAAAAAACAAAAAAATAAAAAAACAAAACAAAACAAATCACCACTTACTGATCCTATGATCTTGGGCAAGTGTTTATCTATTACTGTGTAACAAATTGCCCCAAAACTTAGTGACTTAAAGTCATAGATATTATCCTATAGTTTCTCTGGGTCAGGAATTTGGTAGCAGCTTAGCTGGGTGGTTGTGGTTCAGAGTTTCCCATGAGGTTGTAGTCAAGATGTCACAGGGGGTGCAGTCATCTGAAGGCCCAACTGGGGCTGGAGGTTCTGCTTTTAAGATGGTGCACAAATATGGTGCTGGTTGTTGTTTGGAGGCCTTAAATTTTCCCCATCTGGGTCCTTTCATGAGCTGCTTGAGTATCCTCATGACATGGTGACTGACCTCCTTCAGAGTGAAAGATTTGGGCACAAGAAGGAAGCATGGTACCTTTCATGACCTAGTCTTGGAAGTCATATACCTCCACATTCTATTAGAAGCAGGTCACCAAGTGCCACATTCGAGGTTTAATAATTAAGCTCCACCTTAGGGAGGGAGGAGTATCAAAGAATGTGTGGACATATTTATTTTAAAAGTATCACAGCATG